ACTGAAAGTTTGCAAAGTATTTTCTGTTTGGCAGTTTGGCTTTGTTGGCGCTCAAAGAGTTTTTGGGACTTGGCTGCTCTTTGTTGGAGGGGAAATTCTAGCCTGCTTATGCTATTTGATTGCAATTTAATAACTTCAAATACCACTTTTTTCTTTTCACTGGGTACATTCAGTGTACATCACTGCATCCTCAGGAACATGGTTATCTCAGCAATAGTCTGTCAGTCCCCTCAACACGTTGTCAGCAAAATCTAGAAACCCATTTTCAGTTCTACGACTCCTTTGGTTTGCGTGACTTCAATCAGAGCAAAGCAGGACAAGGGGACATCACATACATCAACATAACAAATATATTATTCATTTTTCTGTGGTCAGTGACATTGTTACAGTCTACAGAAGTTCAAGCAAAAAAGTCCCTTGAAAGAGACATTTTGACTCTGTTTTAGAACCGAATCAAGTTATTAATTGCACCATAAATCAAACCTAATCAAAATCTGTATCGAATTGAGCTGCTGGTATTGTAGAAAAATGGCCTTTCACCTGAGCAGAGAATTGTTTTCTAATGGTTTTTAAAAGGAAATATTATTTCATCAACTCCTGGTGGGTAACTTCTTGTTTGGTCCCAACTGAGCGTGGTTTGTGAGCTGGGACTCCCTTCAGCCCCCTCTTCTCTTCAGTGAGTTGCTCCTCACTGCCAGGGCCAAGATTTCATTGTGTGACACCTCCTCTGTTAATCACACCCATGTGTCAGAATATTTCCTACAGAGTGGGTCCTGTTGAGTCAAATTTTTCTTTTTTGCTGTTGCTGTAAATTTAGGTAAGAGAAAGCTAAATGTGGTTGGAGATCTAAATAGAGGTTCCATGTGAGAGAAAACCAAGATTTTTAGCCTGTGATGATTTCTGTTCACTCCTTTCTGTTTCCCAGGATTCTTCAGCTCTCTGAAGTACCTTGTTTAAGAAATGTCCCTAAACACCTTTGTTTTGTTGATGCCATTCTAGATAGGCTTTTATTAGAAATCTCCTGGATTGTGCTGCTTTCCCTATGGGTTTGTGTAAAAATGAGTGTTACTGGGCCTGGGCCATGAGGGAGCAGCTGGTGAACTTTTAGATGCCTCACTTCTACAAGTGCACTTCAGAATGCCTGTAATAGCGAGTGTGTGACAGTGGGTGGAAGTGAAGTAATTAAAAGCAGCAGAATTTGGAAGTGTATTTGAAATTCTTATGCAGGTACAAAAATGTCACCAGCGATTTTAGGAGCACTGTTCATTGTGAGAGTCTCAGCCCTCAGCTGGGAGAAACACAGCAACACTGCACAAAGAATGGGGAAACAAAGGGAAAAAAAACCCTAACGCTTTAGAAGGTGGTAGATGTTAAAATAAAAAGATGATGTATTTTCATTTTCCTAGTTCCACATGAATGCAAGATTGCCCTCTTAATTTGTTTTAAAAGTTCTCAAAATCTAGGATGGATGTATAAATGATATCAGGGGATACCTGTCAGACATTTTCCCATACATTAAATACTGCCATGACACTCCATTCAGCAAATTTCTTTGTGTTGCCCTTCCTCCAGTGGTATTTGCATGTGTGCTCCCCCTCCACACACATCATTAATTACCATTACAAACCTGCCTCTTTTTTCTCTCACCTCTCACTGATTTGGGTGGCTAAAGCCATCTAAAAGCCACCCAAACTTTGGAGCAGAGCTTAACCCACAGTGACAGAAGTATGCTGGTTTTTCAATGTTGTGGAGTGAGTGACATTCAAAGTCCATTAGTGGGAATCCATTTCTCAGATATGGTTGAAAATGGGAAGGCTTTGGGCAGTAGTTTGGAGCAGGAGGGGAAATTTAGTTCCACTGCTCCACTGGTTTGTAGCAGAAGAAACCAGGAACCCATTATTGTATCGGTATTTCAGGCTCCAAAAAGTATGGTTTTGTATAAAAAGCTGTAAGTTTATCATGAACTTTATCATGCCGAGGTGCTGGGAGGCTCAGTGGAATCCAGCAGTGCCAGCCAAGTCAGTTCTCACTCATGGTCCATGCCAGGATTCCTTTGGTTGTGCCAAAATTCCTTGGTCACCTTGTCACTCAGCCTGGGTCCAGCAGCCCTGGCACCACGGCTTTCCTCAGGGATTCTCTGCTGGGAGTATTTCCCTGCAGATGTTTCTATGATTACACAAAAGCTACTAACAATAAAATAACAATAAAAAAACCTCATTTGTCTGCAGGGTTGCAGAACTGGGTATTAAACTGCAGTATTGTAAAGTAAATATCATTTTAGTCCAGAACTGCTCTCTACAAATTTTTTTTATGCACAAATTTCTGTTTAATGCAGTGGTGGATTCATTGTCAAATACAGAGATACAACGTGTCTTTAGTTACATTTCTTTGTCAGATTCCATACTTTTTTCTCTCTTCCATAGTCCTTAAACCTTTCTCCATTTTGGTATAACTGTTGCATTTGTCCAATTAAATTTTATTTTCTCTAGTGGACCAGATCTAATACTACTATTTCCAGAGCTCCTTAGCAGTATTCTCCAGTTCCATGCTTTTATTAATTAGCTTTTTTATGGTCTTTTAGGTAATTTTCAGTTCTGGGGACAGTATTTCTATTTGAATGCATTTGATGAAAATTTCTGAGGAAGTATTTACAGAGCATTATGGGGCAGTTATTTAGGTTATGATAATTGGATGGATTATAAATTTAGACCAGGCCCAGTGCTTCACTTACTGTTTTATTGAAACCCAAATATATAATAAAATTATCACCTTCTCAGCAGTTGCTTATATTTTTAATCCTGTCAAGAAAATAAACTGCTTAGTTCTTGAACAGGACACCTTATATTGCAAAATAAACATAAAATGGTTAAAAACTTCATTAAACTTCTAAGAGCTTATTTTAATGCCTTTCACTGGTCGTAGGAAATTTCAAAAGGCATTTGGTGCCCTTTGCTTACATTGGGAAAATCAAAGAGCTGAGAATTTATCACTGTAATTACACAAAGTATCTTGAACAGAAGTCTCTTGTTCACATAAACAGGAGTTATTAGTTGAAAAAGTTAACTTCTCTGAACCTCTAAGGACTCACTGTGATATTCTTTAAGGTAAATACTCTGTAAATATTACAGTAAAACCAAGTTTTAAAGCCATTCAGTTGTTTTTAGAGCCTCCTACACTTGTGCCTTTTTACATAAATACACTTTGTGTTACTGCCTGTGCAGATTCCCAGTCCTTTCTCTTTGGTACCTCAGGGACTCGGGCACCTCTAAAGCTGCAGGGCCCAAACCCACAATTTGTTCTTGTGAGACAGAAAACCACAGATAACAATAAACCTGTACCTGCCTCTTTTATGTATTATTTTCCAGTTAGGAAAACTTATAAGTAAGGAAAAAGTGAGGGCAAAGCAGTGCTCCAAAATACACCTGGTACAACTTCAAACTCTTGAATTCCCATGGCTGGAAATGTGAAACCTGCTTCTTGTGTCTGAGAAGGTACTTGAGGTAGTTCTGTCAGTCTGCAATGGGAACACTGCCTGTTTAGGGAATGTTTTGCTTTGAATTCCGGGGAATATTAACTCCCAGCTCTGTTAATGGTGTTAAGGAAAACCAGCAGATGGGTCCGTTCAGTCTGAAACAGAATTTGGATCCTTGAGATGTGCTGAGTTAAAACAGCAGCAGCAGCACTGGAGAACAAACATCAGAAGCAGCAGAAGACCCAGGAGAGAAAATGCCCTCATGGAATTTATAATGATGAGACATTTCACATATGTATTTTAAAAATGGATTTTCAAAATGAATTTTAAAAGTAGAAAGTCTAAGCTGCTGAAATAAAAACAAGCTGTGCCGTTTCATGACACTGCCTTGGAAGTTTTATAAGGTCTTGTAAAAAAATAAGAAAGAATTTCTATAGTGCCCTGAACATTTTTGGTAGAAAAAACTCAATTACTAGAGTGGCACTGAGCCAACTTCAATCAGTGCAAAAGCTGCTGGAAGGAGCACTGGCACATTTCATGTTAAAATCACCTGCACAAATGGGGTTACCAGAAACAGGGGATGAAGGGATTCAGGTAGACTTCTCTAGGCTTTCATTTTTCTTTTTCCTTTTTTTTTAAAAAAAATATATAAATAAGTTCTTTGTTATTTTAATTAAATTGGCATAAATAGCAAAGGCCAATGGTTGAACACAACAATTAAACTTCACCTGAAGATTATGATAAAGCACAAGGGATGGTGAGGAGTGAGAGGGATTTTGTATCAGTTTAATTTTGAAATGATTGTTTGCAGTGCACACCTTTTCTTTTTTTCTTAACATAGATAAGAATAACGAGAGCACTGTTTAACCACATCAAGTAGAGCTGCTCTGAGTAAATAATTCATTTACTATTTGGCAAACATAATTTACTGACTGTCTAACAAAGCTGGAAGTTTGCATTTCTTTACCCAAAATGAGACACACTTTCTTAATTTTGTAGGAATTGTGTGTTTGCACTTTTTATTCACTGGTGAGAAAAGGCATCAAACCCAAAAATGTTCTCAACCTCCCTAAAACACTCTGTCAATTTGTCCCACCTGTGGCTGTGGGTGACAAACTGCAGGGACAAGGCATCAACATATTCCTGCTTTCAGTTCCTTGGATTTTTGCTGTAGTTGCCAGCAAGGCTATGGAGTTGCCAGTCCTGGAGCTGCTGGATTTTGTGGTGTGAATGATCCCGGGCAGCAGCCTGGACTGAGGCCAGAGGAGCCTTTTCATGTTTGGAGCCACGAGCCTTCCGAGGGCAAGAGCCTGGGATTGCTCTGGGCCTGGGTGGGGTTTAAACAGGCAATCTCCATGTGGAGAACTCCTTGATTAATTCCTGCCCATCCAGCTCCTGGCCAGTAATGTAGTTCCCTAAAATGCATTTCTTGGTTTTCAAGTGAGCTTCAATAAAGGGTCTAGAAATAGTCCCCGCCGTGATGCAGGGACAGGACTATTACATGCTTATCATTTATTCTTCCACACAGGTGAGTTCCCAGCATATTGAAAACTTTCAAAGGATGAAATGGCTTGGTTTGGCACATCTGAAGAGCCTGAATTAATCCCCTGGTTAGAGCATTTGAGCACTGCTGATGTGGAACAGCACAGCCAGCAACGTAAAGGTATGTCTGGTCAGCCTGAACACAGCCCTTGATTTCATACTTTTTCAGGCCCTGCAGTGTCAATTAGTGGTAATTAAGACAGGGATGGAATGATGGATTTGATGCCATCTAATGCATTTTAAGGAATTAGTATTAAAAGCAAGTGTTTGGTGTTCTGTGATAATGACCAAGATAGTCCTTCTAAATATTACTTAGTTTAAGAACTAGGAGTGATAAATGTATGTACCATCAGTTTGAACTATTTAATATCATTCAGTGTATTACTGAACGATACTAAATAGTTAAATAAATGAATGTCCATTTGGATGTGTGCCTCTGGGAAGGTCAGTCAAATTTAGGACCCATCAGTTTCTGATTGAATAAAATGATTCCTCAGAGCTACAAACTGCTCTTCCCTCAGGTGCTCAAACTGATACCTCCTATCCTCATTACTGCCCATGGGGAACAGGACTCAGGCATGTTCCCTTCTCTCCAGGACATACATCCTGACACAGGCATTTATGGACACCCCTTTTCTTCTGCCGTGGGGATGGCACACCAGGGCACCATGGCTCACTACTCTGGGATCACAGGGAATGAAAGGAAAAGCTGCTCAGCCCTTCCAGTGATCCATGTGTGTACTGGGAGAGTACAATCTACGAGTCTGAGTCTGACCTTAAGTGTATAATGTTTGGAAGAAGGGAATTCTTTAATATCTTTTATATGTTGTAAGGCTTTATGCAGTTCAGCTGAGGACTGAGCCCCCAGTTGGTTAAGATTCCATCCATAAGGACTTCTACAGCAATTCAGAGAAAAAGTAATTAGGGATCAAGGCAGAATTTAGAACGACTGTCTCAGGATATGGCCTGAAATTCTCTGTATGCAACAACTGGAGCACTATTTCAATTAGTGAAATGGAAAAGACCAGATTTCTCCTAAGGATAGGAAATATCAGTAATTTCAACATGTGAAAAGCTGCTTCACACAACTCCACGCTGGAGATACTGATTCTGCCATTCTTTACTTTTAATTTTCGTTTTCAGACATGTGAATTAAAATTTAATTTCCATTGCATTCTTTGTAAGAGGAATCCCAAGTGTGACAAACGTAGATATGTCTGAACTCTGCATTTGTTTTTCTAAGATCATCAGTTAGGGAAGAAAGTACCTAAAATCGAGTTCAAGTGCAGTGTTTCCAAGATAACCCACACTTTAGGGTGGCTTTCTTTGGCTTTTAGGGCTGCACACTTACCTCTGGGGTCAGTGCATTGTTCTCTGAAGTCTGACTTGACAGCAAAATATGTGTGAAACCCTCTTCTTTTCGGACCACAATGTCCCTGAACCGGCAGTTACTTTCGTTTTGTCTCACGCTGTATCTCAGTCTCTTATCGAAGACATAATCCTTCTCCCCATCTAGTTTCCTTTTCACAGTGCTGTGCAGATTCAAGCTTCCATTGGCCAGAGAAGAACCTTTCAGATGGAAAGAATCGAAGCATAATTACCTCTATACCATCAAAGAACTGGAGTGCTACTCCACTAGCTTCAACAAAAAGAAATGAACATATAATAGTAATATAAATATAAAATAAATAAAAATGTGTCTGGCTAGTCAAATGTGGCCTCAAGCCATTCCTCTTATTCTGCATTCCAACATGCAGAACTTTTTGCTGTCTGATCAGAACACCTCTGGATCCAATGAACTGTAGCACCCAGGACTGGTACAGTGGGATTCAGATCTGCTTTGAACCGAAAAGCAACTGTATCACAGTCTTTCATATGAACTTGGGGTGATCCCTGAATTTATTGGAAGATTCTATTTCAGCTTTGGAAACTTGACATGAGAGGTTTAGTCCAAATCCCATCTTCCAAAGATAGATTTTCTTCCCTTTCTGCTGCCCAGTGGTTAGCAGTCTCAGATGACCCCCTGAGCACACCCTTGTTGCACATCTCTGTGCGACACTAAATTTGGGGAGCTCTTCCCAAGCTGACACAACCAACATTGTCTTCCAGTTATCCCTGTGGCTGGCATTGCAAGTAGCACTTAGCCACCCTTTTTGCTCTGAATCCAAGCCTCTGCTCCTTACATTTTACAGTAACAATAATTAATGACTTCTGCCTAACGAGTACGATATTAATAGTGGACTTTGTACACAGCAAATGCTAATGCTGATGCCATCAGTATCCTGCAGCAGGAAAAAAGAGAACAGTGAGAAGAAAGATATAATTCCTCCTTAAAAACAAGTGAGAGTAACAGTAAATCAATATTAAAAGAGAGTTTATTCTGACTTACACAGGGAACTGCAAACCATTCCCGTGCTGATGTTTCCAGTCCCTCTGTAACAGGCAATAGAGGACAACTGGTCACAGTGCTGGGACAGGGTGTTGAAAGAGCTTTACAGGATTTGTATGCAATAATCCTTTTCTAATTACAGATGTTTCACACTATTGCCATTAAAAATAAAGCAGAGACAGGTTGGTGAGGGACAGAGATTAAAGTCACTGTTTTTTGTTTAAATAGACACCAGCCCACATTACTCCATTTTTAAGAAAGGCCAAGAAAGAGCTGAATGAAAACACCTTTGTTTGTTCTGTTCTTTACTCCTGCCAAAAGGTGACCTGTTCCAGCTTCTGGTTTCAAATAGCCAAGAACTTTTAAAGGGCAGATGACATGAATATTAGAACAGATTTAGATTTTATAGTTTAAATGTCTGCCATCCAGTTAAAAATGCTCTGTTGGAATAGAACTGAGCAGTGAATTTGTGACAGGTGACTCTAAACCGAAATCACTTCCCCTCATTTTGGCTTAGCCATGTTTGAGGTTGATGCTCATGCAGGTGACTGATCTGTGTGACTTTTGGCCAAAAGTCTGTTAGTTCAGCCAACCATAAAACTCTTTTTTTGTTGTTAAATTAAGAGACACTTTCTAAAGCTTTTCCTCTATTATACTGAACAGGGCATTTACCTGGTGCAATGCAAACATTGCCAAATTACTTTAGATCATCACTTTAAAAAATCATTTGGAACCAGAAGAGTCTGAAATTTGTTTTCTTGACAAAAAGTAGTAGAAATCACCATGTGCTTGAGCTTTAAAAATTATGACTAACTTCCTATGGTCTGTTTCTTCTTTTTCATAAGGTTTTGCTACTGCATCTATTTTGACATTATATACAAAGGTGTATACAATATATATATTGTATATATATACATGATCATGTATTCTTACAAACAAAAATCAACTTGCAGAATTACTAATGGAGTACCAGTGTCATTGGGAATAATATACTGAAACTAATTAATTCTTTGACTGAGGCAAACTATTAAATACTGCATTTTTATCTATTCAATCCTTACCATGTTGCTTGACCCTGCAACTAGCTACTAAGATGTGATGACTTAAATCTCCCCAAAAAGTGTAGAGAACTTATAAAATCAGAGGCACAAATGCCCATTGAATGGAAGGTGTATCAGACTAACTATACTGATTATCTCTCTAGTGTGGAAGATTATGCCACATCTATTTTAAATACAGATGGTAAGAGAATAGTAGAAGATTAATTCACACACATAATCCAGCTCAACAAAAAGCCTCACAGTAATTATTTTAATATTTTATTTTATTCTTCTTTATGTACTTTGTTTGTAAATTAATATCTTATCATGATATTTTAACTATCTGCACGCCAGCTAAAAGAAATCTAACCAGAGGAAAGATCTGAATTAAATATGAGAGAAACATAAATGGAAAACTGTCATTTCTTAGAGTGGATGATTAACAGAACAATATATAGTGAGCAAATTGTTGTTTCTGTGTCTACAGTGCAATTTTGTAATCTTGTTTAATCTGATAAACTGGGGACAATGATCAGCACAATCTAAAGACAACCAAGGAAGCTTTGGGTACTCAAAGTGTGGTTTACTGGCTTAGTAGTGAGTATTTGATGCTCAGTCTAAGTACAAAAAGAAAACAGAATGGGAGAAAATATTCCTTCCTTTAGTCAGAGTTTAATCTAATTATTACCTCGTAATCAGCAGTAGAACTTGTGGAATACCCAAACCAACACTGATAGTTATAAGAAGTTTCAATATTCTTTTAAGGGAACCTAAGATATTCCCAGACCTCTGGTGGGTGCAGTTATCCTTCTCCAAGAATGGCAGTAAAGGATGCTATTTAAGGAGAAAATGCAAGCTTGGGCACTTTCTGCAGTCCATTCCCATAGCATCATCCTTAAGTGATGTACAGGGACATGAGAGGCTTCATCCTTCCTGTTTCTTCAGTATTTGCTTGTGGACCTTTTCATGTGTTTCTCTAATCCCCTTTGAGCTCTCTGGCTCCACAGCTTCCTGTGGTATGAGTTTGAGAAGTTGTGTAGCCACTACACAGAGAAGAATTTGCTTTCATCTCTGCTTTTATCTGATGTTCCACCAGCTCCAGCGAGTGGTCCCTCGCTCTGCTATCGAGGGATTTCCCGAGCAGCAGTTCTGCATTTACTGGATCTGAGGCCTTGATGGTTTGTAAACTTTGATCGTGCTCCCGCTCCGCTGCCCCTCTCCTGACTGAAGGCTCTTTTATTCCTGCAATCCTCTTCATTTTAGCTGCCCATCCCTGCATCTTCCACAGTGCTCCACCACTGCCAAAGGCTCTGAGCCTGGGGCTCCATTACACCAGGCAATGCTGCAAACACATCAGAAATTTACAGTCTAAAAAGTCTACAAAGGGTGGGAGAGGAAAGACAGAAAAGGTCACAGTGATCCTCGGTGCTTTAGGGGACCTGGGACTCCACCCCCCCTTCACTGCTCCTGCCCATGAGGAGAGGACACCTCAAGCTGCTGTGTCCTCTCTGTTTTCCTCTAATATTTTCAGAGACTTCTTTTCTGAGTGTTCCATCCCAGCCAGTTTGAGGTGCAGTCTCTGTGCCACCACCCCACACAGCAGCTGGCCTGCTGATCTGCCCCGGCTGAAAACTCCCCCTGCAAAACTGTGGTTAATTTTCAACCAGATCAGGTTCACCTTGGAGCCCCAAA